TGCAAATCAAGAAAATGCGATGCCATATGTTTTACCATTTATCTAACGATGCTAGATGGCATGAAAAATTAACCTGGCATTATAATAAGCCGTCTTCAAGTGTAACCCAATTATTTTGAAGACGGCCGTATCTCGACTTTCAATAGGGTTATGTTCCACATGTCTGGCTATGGGGTATATTTACACATGGATTGCTTTTACGTGTTCAATAGCTAAAATAAGAGTAAGATAGTCTCTGGGCGTATTATTTCTGTTGAAAAAACCTGAGACATTGTAACAAACATACACTTATGGACTAAAGAACAATCGACCGTTGACGATATTGATTTGGAAATCGAACGAAATAATGAAGTAGCTTTGTTACGTTAAAGCACCGAAACGGTTTATCATATACCTTTTTTCGATTCAATTTATTGGCGTATTTATTTATAAATCCTTTTTCTCTAGTTTGTCGTATTGTAGCAGCTCTTTTTGAGCACAGCCACTTCAAACGCAAAGGTTGCTTGCTGAACAAAAGATTTCTACCACCAAATGGAAGAGACTCAATTTTTTTTATTCCGTCATTTTAAAATGGAAGAATAAAACGTCTCCCTAGATACATACGAACAGTGAAATGAACAGAGATTGACATCTCGCTAAAAATGCGATGATGATGGAACAAAAGCACAGCAAACAAAGTCTCATTCTCCAGCACACACACACACACACACACACACACACACACACACACACAAAATTAAAACACATTATGAATTAATGTTGACATCGTTTCGGGGCTTCTTTTCATCTTTATGAAAATTATCTCACGTGCTACATTCGGGTTTCGTCTATGTGTGTATCATGTTTCATGTATTTCACTTACCCACTTACCTCTATAATAAATGTGGCACCGTTTAAACTGTCACAGAAATCACAGGCATCTCTAATGAGTCTCGCATCTCATTTGCATCGTGGGAATTCATTCTTTAAACCATGAAAAGTAGATGGCTTTTTACGATAAACCATTTCCGTCAACTGTAGTTACTTATTTTGCATCCAAGTGAATATAACTCATTCTTTTTACTTGCAAATCATTTTCTATGTTTTTAAAGACAAAAAAATTGAATCTCTTTCTTCGATCCGATGGAACGTCTTTCAATAAGATTTCTTCTCGGCACTGCCATTTCCAACCTATTTTTTTCCTCAATATTTTTAAAAAGGCAAAATTTCAATTGAAATTCATTTTAAATTCATTTAATTCGAGAAAAATATACAAAATTCCGCTCGCGACGCAAACATTTTTCAATTGAAAAATTAACAGATTTTCATTGGCATTTTTTTCACTTTCTTATACGAATATCTATCTATTTTTGTTCACTTAAAGCAGTGCTTTATGAAAACAAACGACTTTTTCTCTCGCTCAAACGATTCGCGTTATAATTCGAAAGAAAAAACATTACTTGGCGTATAAAAAATAAACACATTTTCAAGACATATCTTTGTGGAAAATATGAAAGTCGCAAAAAAATGTTGCTTTGAAGATTTTTCCTTCATTTTTCATCAAAGGTACTTTCTATAAAAGGCTTTGGCTAATTTCAAACAGTTAACTAGATCAACAGAAGCAACAAAAAACCATCTACTTGACAGTAGTTTCCAATAGTTTGTCCATACCACTTTGGCTATTAATTTATTATCATAATCATTGTTTCGTGTTCACAGCAGTGTTTTTACTAAGCTTTCTTTCAGTTATCGCTTACTTGCTAGCTGTGCTTTTGTTATTTGTTTTTGCCAAGTGTTGATATACGATTCAAGTCTATTTTTTACTGGATTATGTTCTGTAAGTGAAAGCGAAACTCATTAAAGCAGAAGAGCGAGCGAGCGAGAGAGAGAAAGAGAAAGAGAGAGAGTTGGAGAATGGAAGAAAGAATAATTGCCAGTGAAGAGATAAAACCTTTCATGAACACCACAGCTGAAACGAATAAAAGTTGAACAAGTATCAAGGAGCATGAGCTTAGAATGAATATTTTCTAGACTCGAGCAAAGTTAATAAAACGAAATAAAAAAACTCGATGAATCAGTTTGTTTTTGTGTCATTTATTTTCATCTTAATCCATTTTATTAATTAAGCTAATTTTCTGAGACGATGCCCATCAATTCATTAGTATGGTTAGAAAAAGTGAGGACGTGAATCGAGTAGTTTACAGATGTTGATGTTCAGCGAAGCGATGAACATTGCAAAAATAAAAATGTCGCAGTTACCATCGTTCAGTAATAATAGGTTACTGTAGTGTATTGCAGACCAGCTCATGTTCCGTAAAGTTTATGTTGTCAAAGAGAAAGAGAGAGGGAGAGAGAGATAAAGTATAATGTGAAAAAATGAATGTGTAACAAAATCTTTCGCAACGATCAAGTTATAAATAGAGCAATAATTACATGAATCTAACCCAAGCAAATGGGTGTCAAAATCTATTTATACAAAGGTTCTCTCTCTCTCTCTATCCTCTATCGAAACTTTTTGTTCTGCCGAAACACTGAAATATGCAATTTATGGAATTCGATCCACATGAATATTTGTTGGCTTACACAATGGCCACATCAAACGTCACACAACTTTCGAACAGTATCCGTGCGCCCCATCCATTAAAAGGACGAAAACCTACAAAATGTTGTTCAGAGCTATGTTTTGACTATGGTCAAAAGACATTCTCAATCTCTATCTCTATTTATTTAAAAGCTAAAATTGTGTTTGCACTTCATGTTTCGACGGCCCGATGATGGTAAAATATGGAAATGCAAAAATAATGCCATTTTATTCGATACATTCTATTTTTCTATTGAAAAAAGAAAAAAAAAAGAGAAATGCTTACTTTTAGAATCTCTATCAGATACAGAGATCCTGTTTAATGTAAATTGAAATTGAACCTAAAGTGAAATGTGCGGAAAATGGGATAGAAATGTGGAAGCTTATGATTAATAGTGCCACTATCCGATTCAATACTTATATATAAGTGTGTGTGTCGTTTGAGAGGTTCTACGATGTGATGATGCACACAAAAAGAGTGTAAAACTTAATCCATATGTATCTTATGTTGTGACGCACACATACACACACACACATAACCGCTTGATGTATCGCTTCGCATCGTAACAACCAGAAAGAAAAAAGAGAGAAATGGAACGGGTCAAAAGAAAGTTATTATTTTGAATAATTTATTATTTCCATATTTTCTCTTGTCGCCTTTTTTTCTCATTCTTTTTCACATCGGTCACCTTACCAATATAAAAACGCACATATCGTTTCAAAGCACATTTTCATATGGTCTCGTATATAATGTGTGTGCATGCATCTGACGACTCCTTTTTTTACTGCGTTTATGGTGATCATTCTAGTCTTTTCCCTATTTGAAATTGTTTCGGTCGATGTGTGTCGAAAAGAATAACCAGTTCGCACCATTCTCTCTCGATTCCACACACTGTTGATAGTTTATGTGCGTCAATCTTATTGGCTTCACGGGGCTCAACATGGCCTAACGAAATGAGGAAAAGATAAAAACAGATGGAAAGAGAGAGTGAGAAAGGGAAAAAAGGCACCGAATACGAAAGTATCTGATGTTCTATGAAACGATATGGCTATGATCCCATCGAAGCAATAAATTGATGTCTGCATTCATAATTTTAAACTTAATGGATTTCTGTCTGCGGACATAAAATTGGTTTGTGTTGAATGTGTGCTCCAGTTTTGCATTTTCTAGTGCAGTCGTTTCGTATACGCAAAAATATTATTGCTTGGTAATGGTTCACGTATAAGCTTCTTTTTTTTCATCTTTTTCGCTGCACATCTCTCTCTTTCTTTTATAAAAATTCACCATTTTCAATGTTTTTTTCTTTATCACTCTCAGTGTGTGTGTGTGACTGCGCATATTGCGTTTTTATTGCATTACATTCGAAGCTGTAAAAAAAATAACGTAAACGTGTTCAACACGACAAACGACAAAGATCGTGAACTAGTGCAGATTTTTCTCCATACCATCATCATTCGAATGAACTAAATTTGTGCGGTGAATTAAATGTGCAGGCAACGACACATTCGTATATATTACAATTTCGGCGCAATTTTTTAATGATTTCATTTCATTCACTCACTTTCTTAAAACATGCTTTCTCCATTACGCAAACAATAAAATCATGTTAAAGTACTTCTATGTGCCCCTGGTGTGGCAGGAAAAGAGACTCATTTCAAATGAGAAAAAAAATGCGAATGACATTTGGTCATTAGATTATGGTAATTTATTTCCGAGTTGCGATTGCCAGTGTACCTATCATTTTATAAATATGAAGTTAGTCAAACTGAATGCTTAGATAACAGTTTTTCGCTCCCGTTGGCTTTATTCAATGAACTTTGATGTTTTGCAAACAATTTTTATTTGAATTCATCCTGTCGGTGTCGCATAGCTTTCATACAGTTTCTACACCGAAGTAAAGGTTATTTTCAACACAACACAGACATCCAAATAAAATATAAAACACATTTCAAAAAGTTTGACGACACCATAAAACACATATATACACGTTTCACACGAAATGTACGAAGGTATTTTGGAATAGCATTGCGTTGTGTGTCGCCCGTTAAATGGCTGACAATCCGGCTAATTGATTGTAACGACCATTATATTCAAAATGAAGAAATTAACCAAGAGTTTTTTAAGAGTTGTTCTCACCGCTGAAAATGAAGATTTTATCTTGTTCCAAAATAAATACATACACCGTTGCTCCCAATTCAGTTGTAATTCGGTGAATGTTAAACGTTGCGTAAGTGTACGATGTTTGGTAAAACTTTGAGCTTGAAAAGATTACAAAATATTTTTTTGTATGCTATTCACCAGTAACCACCACCCACACATTGGTGTTGGACTAAGCTCTCCGCAGTAGTTTTTACTCATTTAATTGACAGCTTATTAATTTTTATGGCATTTGTTTTTCTTATCCCATTTCTCATGGTACTTTTAATTGTCTACTTACAGAAATGCAACGTTAATCCGTGTGCAAACGGCGGCACTTGCTGGACCAGCGAAGACTCATTCAATTGTGCATGTCGTGCAGGTAAATTTCACATTTTTATCAATTAATAGAGTTATATATCTGAAACGTTTTCATGCTCGCTCATTCTCATTTCGTTTCGTCTTTTTCTTCATCAATGTTATCTCAGGTTTCACGGGCAAAATGTGTGAAGGTAAGAAAATATTTCATTCGTTTTGTTATTTTCATTCCAACCAGTTTTTTCTCACTTCGTTATGAGCAAGCTAAATTGTGAATTGAATTTGTTCATCAGAACGTGAATTCGTTTTGCAATTTTCTTTGGTTCGCTTGATGTTCTATTTTTCTTCCATTTATTTTTGGTATGATGTGAAAATCAAATATAATTTACCGGAGTTTCCGCTTTTGAATCATCAAATAGACAAAAATAGCGACTAAACGAAACTATTTTTCAATGTTTAAATGTATGTGTATGTATGTTTTAGATGAATTTATTGTCGATGGTGTAGTGAATACAAACGAAGTATTATCAGATGTGGATGTAGCAGCAGTGGCAGCGGAAACGACCCACGCACGACCTTTTGGTGAATCAAGCTTCAGTTCAGTCATCTCAAAGGGTGGCTCCATTGGTTTGCACAACGCATACATTGCAGTTGGAACATTTGCAACATCCATTTTCATTGTTGCCATTGTGGTGAGTAGTTAGATTCATTTTCATTTTTAATCATGACATTCAAAGAATTTCTGGCTTGAAAGTGCAAATTCAAACACAACTATGTGTTTATATGGTAGATTAGGTCTCTTTCATTCTAAAACTCTGATGAAATTGCAAAGGTGATAACTTTTACTGGTCATGCCAACATGTCAATTAACAAATCCGAATGGTTGTGGTTCATTGAAAAGTCCTTTCACAAACAGATAACCCCATCAACTGCACAACACATGGATAAAAATACTTTAACATTGTTCTCTCTCTCTCCCTCTTTCTACATGAAGTAGCTAACTTGTTCATTCTGTTGAGAGAGAGAGTAAACAGTTCCATGGCCTATACATATTTATAAATAAAACGGTTATAAGTCGTGTTCTCTTGCTCTCTATTTCTGTCTCCTTACTTTAAGTGGATTATATTACGTCAGTTTGTGCAGTGTTTTAGAAGAAGGCATTTGCAATTCGGTCGAATGCGAGAACGATCCCAGATAATGCACACTATGCATGGAGATTGAGAGAGAGCACGAGTTCGTGTCGAGTCATCGAGGATAAAGAAATGCAATAATTCGAATAAAAATGTTTGAAATATCCAACAAAAGTGTGTAGTTTGCAAACAACTAGCAACTCTCACTTGAAATATATTTGCGAATATCCCAGCGTGTGTACATTTTATTTACTTAAGTGAATTGGGAATTGTGTGTATATATACACACACACACAGTTTGAGACATATGAATGTGAGCAATGAAAAAGAAACATGAAACGAATATGCGCTCATGCAACCAAAGAACAAATGGAACAAAGGCGAAGTGGACAAAGTACAAGTAACGACGTACAATTCACCCAAGATTGCAATATCAAATGTAGATTGTGAAAGATTTTCCATCGGTCTCTCATATATTCGAAATGTTGTTTGTATTGGCATCATTTGAGGCGAGCACGCGTTTCATATTCTCATTTATTTGGTGGTTTTCTGTGTTTTTATTCTTCTTTTTGACCGTATCCGTGTTCGTTTCACCATTCGGTATGATGGTGACGCTGGCAATGGTGGTATGAGATATGAAATCGACAATAGTAACATGAATCATTCTGCACTCATATATACCATAAGTATATTGAGGCCAATTCACACAAATTTCGAAATTGCAATTTATTTCCAAATGATTCATGGCCCATAATCGATGGCTCCAAATGCAACCATATTTCACTCTCGTTTAAGTGAAAATATTGCGACAATTTCAAACTTAATAAATTCAATCAGGTTGCACGGATGGTTGTTATCGCCACCGATTATTATCTTAACGTACGGCCGGGGTTGGCACGTATACATGCGCCATTGCAGTACTGTTATCGATCGCATTTATCGGAATTCATTGGGAATCGAGTGAAGTGACGCGCATTTGTTTTAATTCAAATTAATGATAGGCAATGGGATATATAAATATTGAGAGCTCACTCTCTTTCTCTCTCCTTCAGTCTTTCCTCGTACTGGGCGAGAGAATACGCAAACCAATTCAAAATCAATTGTACTAAGCCTGTTAAGCTGATTCATTTTCAATAATTCCATTTCCTCCGGCATCTACTACCGCCAATTTTAACTAAATAGAGCTTCAATTGTATACCATTTGTTTTCGTTGCATTTCTAGTGTTTGTGCTTTTTTATTCTCTTTCTTTCATTGAGAATGGATGTATGTTGAGCTGTATAATTTGACATAAAATAATTAATCACCATTCCAATTTTATGCGATATCATGTTGTCAGGAGAAAAAATTGCACTGTCTTAAATTCAAATCCAAATAAATTGAGTGGATTATGTCGATTTACTCGAACCTCACTTTCGCCTGAATTCACTCAGCGGAAATAATGATAATCCACTGATAGATAGAGCACACATACAAATGACCAAATGAAAGAAAAACAGATATTATTTGTTTTAGCAAATCATTTTTAATGAAGAGTTTTTATGAAAATGGAAGATTATCCTGTCTACCGAAAACCATGAAATATTGACATGAAAAAAAAACTTCATGAAAATAATAATCATTTCCTTCTTTGATTTTTTTCTCCTTTTCTCTATCTATGTCCGCCAATATTCTAGGTAATTGCATGCCATTGTAAATACCATAAATCGTATCGTCGGTTCACAACGCGACAGCATCAATTGATACCGATATTCGGTTTTGGTCGTCGTGCAAAACAACAATTGAATAATCCACGTCATTGGCTCAGTGGCAAAGGACATTTATCATCATCGTCGACATCGAATAAAACGGCCAGTACAACGGCATTGAATCAACCGAATTCGACAAATGGCAACGGAACAAATGCGTCCAATTATCATCATCCGCCACCATTGAGTCAGCAAGTACCGCGTTTTCAGCGACATTTAGCCATGAACCTCGAAAATGATATGTATTACACAGTTGACTTTAGTGATTCACAGCATTCGCCGTTGATCCATTAAAAATTATAAATTGTTCGTTTTTTTTTTCTCTCAATGGAATAAATTTTGGTTTTTCGGATGTGTACCCACACACACTTACACCGAATTGCATGGCCAAATTTAAATTAATATTTTGATTATATTTACACAACAATGATCGTTTAGTGGTTTAAAATATGACTATTTAATGCTGATTATGTCTCTGTCTCTCATTTGCAAAATCTATTTTTAATTCTCTGATAATCCAACCGCCAACAAAACAAATACAATCGCATATATGGTATATTTCTATCAGTTAGACAACCATAAAAACTATAATTAATTAGGTAAAAAGAGTAATAAACTGAAATTGTTGTTTTTTTTTACCCGCCACAAAAAAAACCACCACATAAACATGCACAAATAACGTTTACCATTTACATGTTTAATATTCGTGAGATCTATTCGAATTTAAATGCATTAATTAATTACAACTATAATAATTGGGAAAAATCAATGATGCTGTTTCTCTAATATAATTCAAGTCCTCTGTTTCAAACCCACAATATAAAAAATCTTTAGTTGTTCAATTCGGAAAATATATATGTAGTCTAAATGTGAGATGAAAAAAAAACAGTTTTTATTATGAAAAAAAAGTATTTTATATGAGAATTGAATGGAAATTTAAGAATATTGTAATTTAATATTTATTTACGAATGAAATAGAAAAACAAACATTTTCGAGTAAGACAAACAATAAAATAACATAGAATATGATTAAAGGAGTGAAATATAATTTCTCCGCTCCAAAACCGTATTATACACACATTAAACAAGTGGAATAAAAATAAAAGTATTTGCTTTTTGTGATTTAATTCCAAATCTGTTCAAATAGTAGCGTAAGGACATTTATAGTGATTAAGATGTGCAAAATACAAACACACACACACACATGATGTTAGTGGAATTCAATCAACATCCAATTTATCGATAATAACATAATAATTTTCACATTTAGGTAAACTAATCACACACCATTAACGATTTCATGTTTCATAGTTCATAGAGATTCCCATATTGTTTGCAGTTAAGTTGTAAATTTTTGTTTTTATTTTTCTCAGAAAATCTGTGCAAATATTTTCGAAAAATTCCAGTATGCATGAAAGATTGTGCAAAAATTTTCCTTGAAAAAATGTGCATGCAACGTGGGAAGTTGTTTTCCTGTTATGGATGGGTGCGTACGGAGTATTTTGAGGGCTCAAGCTTAATTCTCTTCTCTCACTTTCCCATATTTAATAAGTGTTCATGATAATGTGTTAAAAGTCGGGATAGTTTTGGAGTGTTTTTCTTAGAATAAAATCGAATCCCAGAGTGAAAGTATCAGTGAGCAGATTTCAGACACAATACATATGAAGCTCCAACTATTTCACCGCAAATTTAAATCACTATTCAAAGTTTTCAAAATCAAGTTGCATTCTCTCTCTCTCTCTCTCTCTCTCTCTCTCTCTCTCTATGCATTCTGTTTTCAAATGGTCCAGACAAGCAACGGTGCATTTTAACTAAATTGAAAGCAACTTGACCTCGCATGAGTTTCATTTTCGCACATAAAATGTATGTACAATGCGAATTAAATTAAACGATGTAGATTAATAATGATATCACAACAGTGCGGTGAACAAAACAAATCAAGGTAGAAAAACAGCAACAACAATGGCCATCGTATCTCACTCGGGCAGAGCTCGTACAGGTTTGAATAGAGTGAATGTCCGGTAAAATGTTTTCAATGAAATTCTGCCTCTCCGGATTAATCTATGTATGTACCAGAGAGTTATTATGCGAAGCATCCATCAATCTATGCAAATATATAACATTGTGTGTGCCATTATTATGCAATTAGACATTTGATTTAATACACATTGTTTAGTTACGAATTGTGACTTTTCGAGCTGCAAAATATTGCAGCTGTGTGCTCTCTTTCCCTCTCTCTCTCTCGATTTATTTAGCACCAACTACAAACATGTAATGGTTTTTGTGAAAATGTGTTCAGGCTTTTTGTTCGGTTAATCGAAAAGGAGACAAAGTGAGAGAGAGAGAGAGAGAGAGAGAGAGAGAGAAAGAGACTGACAAGAGTCTGAATTGTGGTTTTTACCATGAATTGAACAAAACGATGACTGTATTTCTGGAAATGAATGGATTTAAATGTTAATATCGACATCTCAATTTGTTATTTCAAGCACATTTCTCTCGAAAAATACCCTTCAGCCAATCGATTTGATTTTCTCTCGGGCGAAACCCATTCGTCGAATGCATAATTTTAAATATGATTGCAATAAATTTTCCAACAGCGAATATATACGCTGCTAATTTGAGTCGTCCCCACCAAACAACAGACTTCCCACATGATGTATTTTTTCATGATTATAGTTCAGTTTATTGTTATTGTTGTTGTAAGTCATACACTACAATTGTAGTCTAATTGTAATTTAAAAAGCAAAAAAAAAAAATAACAAAAAAAATAAACATAAAATATCAAATGCAAATGCACACCGATGGTTGGAAATGGATGAAACACAGCGAAAACACATTTCGTTTCACATTTTCAAGCAGTCGATGTGCACAGCTGCTCGCTCTTATCAACAAGCTCCGCCACTCTTTCTAAAAAAAATTAATTGAAAAATACAATTTTGAATTCAAATTGTACAAACGACGAGTTGTACGCGTTGTGTACAATGTAATTCTATTTGAGAAAGAAAATGAATAGACAAATAACACACTCATTCGATTTATGTTTTTTTTGTGCTTAAAATTATTGTTAGGAAATTAGATTTATCCAACTGAAATGTTATAACACTGAACTTTGAATTGAAACAATAACAAAAACCGTTTGCTTTGTTCGAAAAATGCCATAGAGATGGTATTATTGTAAGTACTTTTACAATGAAAATCAAACATATGCTGCAGATACTCTTGACACTTTTATCACTATGAGCCATGGAGATCGGATGGTAATACTCAGAAAAATTTGCCCTTTTCACCTCCAAATTAGTACCGATCCCCTGAAACTTTTTTTGCATTTTAAGCCCTACTGTCCGTGTAATAAACAGCATTTAGTAGACTTTAAATGCTTGGCTTTCGGAAGCTGTGTTCAGGCATTGTTAAACGATATGTTCCATGAATTCAAAGGGCGAATTTACAGCACAAATTCACTAGAAATGAATGTGTTAGAACTTTTAATATGGATAAAATAAATGATGAAATAATATAACTTAAGTTAAAATTGAACAGCACAGACACAAACACTCACGATTATTAAGTGGATAATAAATACCAGGAAATTAAATTTAATCTCTAGAAACATGAATAACTGAATTAATAATAGAAAATGGTGCAAAGATAATTTTGAAGTGAAATCGATAAAATTTATCTTATTGAATAAAAATGAGAAAGACGAAGTTTTTCCTGAAGTTTTATTGAAAATATTTCAACCCCTCACCAGTGCTTGTATCCATAAAACATCGACACGAACAAACTCGTTCGCATTAGAAAACTTGAGCCGGTCAAGAATTCTGCTACCACATCGAAAAGCATGAGTTCAACAACTAAATAGGTGGGTAAGTATCATGCTGGTACTGTTGCTTGCTTGTTTCAGAACAGATAATTTATTGAAAACACTGATTTCGATCGCTACAATTTTCACTTTTATTTCAAACAAAACTTATAACCAGCTTATTCAATACAGTAGCATGGAACTTTTTCTACGCCACACACAAAAACTGAAAAATTTATTTTACTTTGTTTTTATCTAAATGTTAGTGTGTATATAAAATAAAAGAAAAAAAATTATTTAATAATTAATTTGATTTCAATACTTTCGAAAAATTCGCTTGAATACTCCCACTTCTAGCGAATTGCGCTCTTACAAAAGAATATAAACGATTTTTTCAATAACATTTTGTGTTTAAACCACCCAAAAAAACAGAAACAAATTATCGAATACTTTTAAACTGACTATTAATAAAATTATTACAAATAAAATTACTAGGATATTGTGTTTCGTTTCTCATTTCTCCATCTCTTTCTCTCATAAAAAATCCAAAATAAGTGTAATTTCAAGAAAACTGTTTGTTAGGTATTTCGCTAAAGTGATTTGTTCGATTGTTTTCTAATGGTTCGACCAATGAATGACTTCGTTCATAAGCGACAATTTTGCGTTCTTCAACCATTGGCGTTGGTTTCGTTTGGTTCATATGATTTGTTTGACTCTCTGGCTCTTCTGGTATCGAATCACGGCGTTCGTCATCCTACATCGGAAAAATGATAACTAATATTAGAACGGTTTCCATTTATTTAGTTCATATTCGTTTGTCTTATTATTCTCACAATATTTTGATTTTGGATTTTTTATATAGACTTTGAAATTACATAGCTCGAGAAAGTCTTATATTGATTCTTCTCTTGCTCCCGGATGAAACTATTATTAACAGATAAATGCAAACGATTCATGATTTTCAAATATAAATTTCAATGATTATATTCTTGGATGTGTTTTTTACATTCCTCGGAGAGATTGAGTGAGGCGCACATTTATTATATGTACGTCTCGTATCGAATCAACTGGGGAAATGGGTAATGCACAAATGTGAATCGAAATGGTAACGACCCCAAAATGACTGCAATATACATTCGTTATTTCTTTTTGTCTTATTCTCTATGCATGCATCAGATGCAATACAACTGTGCTCTATTTCGCAATGAAACGATTAATACACAGCAGCAGCAACAGCAGCTGTAGAAGCATCATATGCAAATTTCAATGCAATTCACATCATTGTGCTTAGCTATTGATATGTTCGAGCAATTTTAGTCATGGGATTTTGCCTTAACACCACTTTGAATATTTGGATAATTTTTTTTCTTTTCTATTGTTGACAAAACACAATCAAAGTGTATTAGTTACTCAAGCAACATTCCCCTAATGATATCAAATTCAATGCTAATTCTGTTATTTCAATCCGTATGAAAATGATGAATCTTAATTTATTTGGTACTTGTGAAAATGAATGAATATTAAGTACGAAGATAGCATAGTCGGGTCTTATTAGTCGAAAAGTGTGAGTATTCATAGAGTGTGTTAGTTACCGCATCAAAATTAATTGCTGTTGTCATCGGCTCGTCCGCCGGAATCATCTGCAATTGTGCTCGGCTACGGTATTTGAAACGATCATATCGCACAAAATTCGATTCAACTCCCTGTTATTAGTCACACAAATTTGCCACAAAAGACATCACAAAAAATAATAATCAGTTTAGTTAGAGAAAAATTAACACACAATTTAATTCACTTGTTATTTATTTTCGATAGCAATTTATTGTCCAAAAATAGATAATGCTCGTTTTATTTTTAGTAACACTTGTCACATTGTTGCAAATTTTAAAATAATTCCCCTGATATGACAACAGATTATTGAATGATACAAAAATGAAAACATTTTACACTAAATGTGTCACCAGAAGGTGTAAATAATGCCAGTCGTCCAAATGACTTTGAGATTTTCAAATAATCAGGTGATAAATGCAAACACAATGGTGTTTATCGAATGTTTATTACCTCTAAGACGGGATCACTTGGGATTTGTAATGATTTCGGACTGCTAAGATTGAGCTTTGGAGCCGAGTCGGCACGATAACGATTTAAAGATTGATTTGATGTTCGATCTGTTCGGCTGGCCACTGATGTATTTGATGTTTTATGATTTATTTCCAATGCTGATCGTAATAAATCTACTTTTGATGCACTTCCACCGGTTCGATTTCGGCCGTATTCAATGTTGTAGCTACTGCGACGTTGCGACAAATGCTCATGAATATCCGCCTACGGAGAATGTAAATAATCATTGACATGTTTCGCTTCAATAAAATTCAGTATGTTAACACACAGGGACTGATTTCATAAAACAAACACTCGTGTTTATTTATTTTCTTCATTGAAAATTGCGTATCTGTACAAAGAGATCAGTCAAAAACTAAAAATGTCTCGCAACAAAAGAAATTAATTTGATTCACCTTCTAATAATTCTTTGATATAGAAAAAAGTCGTCAGATTTGTTGTGAGTCAATTCTGTGTAAACTACTTCGAAATTAATTGCTCAACAAGTACATTACATTATTATTTATTGTGTAAATAAAGTGATTAAGAGTTCTCTTTGTTTAAAACATCAACAACAATATTTTATGGCCATTTTATCATGATAATAGTCTACCATACAGCTACTCTATTTTCGAAAGAATTTCCAGTATTTTAAATATACACGTAAGTATATGATTGGGAATGATTTAGTACGATGTTGATGTATTCGAAAATATATGCACCATAAACTATGTGTTTAACATATACGATTATGGCGTTGATTGTATATTTTTGTGTATTTACTTTAATTTGAATGATAATTTGTTCCGTAGTACGGAATACGTACACGATATTATATTAGATGGGCCTCGTAATTTTTTTTCATTGGTGGTTGTTTTATCGCGAAGGAAAAAAATGAAATATAGAGTGGCCGCGTGTATAGATTTGGTGCCGTTTGGGTGGCGCCAACTCGTTCATTTGTTTGAATAGACGAAATTTGTGTTGTACATTTTTTTAAAAATAAAGGTGTCATGAAACCAGCTACTGAATTGAAGATAAAAATTTACAACACAATTGAATCAACATTTTTCTAAAAATGTTTTAATGTACGTCCTCAAGAAAAAAAGAAAAGGATGAAAATGTCTCATTTTAGACCTAAAAAAACGGAGTCAAACTTAGAATATAATTCTAAAACCAACCTTTGATCCTCGTGGCAACGATGCCAAACTTCCGATTTGATTGTATTTCACCCATAAACTGAGTCGCTCTTGTGACATAGATGTTCCCTGATCGCGTGTTTTTGGTTCGGTGAGCTTGTCTGCTTCGCCATTTTCGGCCGGTTCATCGTCCTTTTCATCGATCATATCGAATTTCTTCAAGTACGCCAAATGTAGCCCATAATACAAAACACCACCAACAACGGCCATCAATCCCATATATCGGAATGCTTCTCTAGTGCCGACATTTCCAATAAGAAAACCACCAAAGAACGAACCACTGCCACGACCCAAACTGAAATGAGCCATTCCCAATACACCGATCAATGTGGCCAAAAGACCTTTTGGCGCTAGTATTGCACAATAAGTAGCAGCCGCAACCCACATCAAATGGCACGATAGCGATTCCATCGCTTCGAATGGGAAACACCACCATGCATCTCTGTGGATAAAAGACAATATTCACGATAAGTTTCCGTTCTTTTCAATTTTTTTGCAACATTTTTCAAAAGAAGAAAGGAAAAATGTGTTTTACTCACTCGATAAATGAATATCCGACAAGTCGAGCAGCGTGTGAAAAGAATGCGACGATGATTAAATTAACATGACCAAAGGCTCGTGTGATTTTCTCCGCACTGTACAAAAATGGAATGCTGCTAACCGTACCGACAGTTATAGTGATGCCAAGCAAATAATTTGGTGCGCCCAATTCTTTGAGATACAGGAATAAAAAGCTTTCAATAAAGCCCCAAAAGTTACCGAGGAAAAAGAGGAACAAAATGAATGTCATCACATGTGGCAATTTCAATAAGTTGAATAGATCCCGGAATACATTGTCGGCCGGTAGTTTTTCGCCAATTGGCATTAGGATAACAGTAATTGTTGATATAATTAGTAGAATGTCGTATGTGTAAAATGCTGCCGAATAGTCAGTGTAACCTAGGCCGCGTGATGTTTGATCGATCAGTAAACCGGTAATCGGTGAAAAAATGGCCATGCCAAAACTTGAAAACAAACGCTCTCGACCAAAATCACCGCCATATTTTTCAATCATTGTCAAGGCAATTGGATCCATTATCGTTACACCTGTCAATGTTTAATTATTTGGATTATTTCAAAATGTTTCATTTTATTCTTTAATTTGTCACAACTCACCAGCTGATAACATGGTTGTGGCCAAAAACCTCAAAAAGAAGTAAATCCAAAATACGCTGTCATCACTTTCAATGTAATCGGGACTGTTGAAGTAAAAAAGGATTATTTAAGTAAGAAATAGTGGGATAGGTAGACATTAAGGTGGGTCAATTTTTTTAAAGGGACAATATAAAATGACCTGGGGTGGCTATGAGTACTACATAGCAAGAGAAAACATTCTGTATCATTACTTTTTCTAAAGTCATCCATCCTGTCCAGGGAGCCGGATTTGAAAAAATTCTCGATTTTGGCCAAAATGTGACATATTTTCTGATGAAAATTTGTAAAAAAAATTGAAAATAATTCTGTTAAAGTATTTAAAAAATGACTGCTCTATATTCAATTTTTATCGCAGAATCGAGTGGGAGCATTTTCAAGCGTACGAACGTCATTTTTTTCAAAATAATCCAAATTTTTCGATATTTCCGGATACCATATATGATTGAACAACATTGAGTCCATATGGCTTTGAATAGTGTTGTCATTTTGAAAAATGGTGAAACATTTCATGATCGATTCATTGAAAACTTTCATTTTTTTTTCCAGAGTATTGCTCAGCACTGCTGCTATCTACAGCATATTAAAGTATCTTGCTGAGAATGCGTCGTCCGTCGCATGCCAAGGTACGTAGCAGTTTTTACATCACAGCGAACAACAATACATGCATTGTTCTCAATACAAACGTTTGAATGTTTTGAGTCACATAATCGTGAAGAGAACAATGCACGTATTCTTGTTCGCTGTGATGTATAAACTGCTACGTACATGCGACGGACGACGCATTCTCAGCAAGATATTTTAATATGCTGTGGATGGCAGTAGCGCTGAGCAATACTCTGTTTTTTTTCACCTTTTTCAAATAAAATCACACTTTTGCGACCTTTCCTCAGTCGGTGAAAGCTTGAAAATGCTCTCATTCAATTCTGCGATAAAAATTGAATATAGAGCAGTCATTTTTTAAATACTTTAACAGAATTATTTACAAATTTTTACAAATTTTCAGTAGAAAATATTTCACATTTTAGCCAAAATCGAGATTTATTCAAACTCGGCTCCCCGGACAGTATGATGGATCACTTCAGAAAAAGTAATGATACAGAATGTTTCCTCTTGGTATGTAGTACTCATAGCCACCCGAGGCCATTTGATATTCTCACTTTAAAAAAAATTGACCCACCCTAGTACGAGGGTTGCTCCATAATTTTTTTTAAAAACATATATAACACAGTTGTTTTTTGTCGAAAATGGTTTTATTGTTTTTCAAAATATTCCCCGAGATGATCGATACACTTTTGCATTCGATGAAACCATTTGTCATAGCATTCGTGCCACTCCGAAACTGATATCTCCAAAACGTGTGTTTTGAACGCTTCAACTGCTTCTTCTGGTGTCGAAAATCGTTGACCACGTAGTTTTTTCTTCACGCTTGGGAACAAAAAAAAGTCATTGGGTGCCAGGTCAGGACTGTACGGTGGATGACCCATCAGTTCGATGTTTTGACCGGTCAAAAATCGAGTAGTTTGAAAAGATGTGTGAGAGCTCGCATTATCGTGATGAAGAATTATTTTGCGACGGTGGTTGTTTTTTCTTATTTCACCAAACACTTCGGGCAAACAAATGGTGGTATACCAATCAGAATTGACGGTCTTACGATCCTCTAGTGGAACGGTTGCCACATGACCACTTCTCCCGAAAAAACAGGCGACCATTCGCTTCGAAGTGCTTCTTGCTCGAACAACTTTCGTTGGGTTATCTTCATTTTGGAAGACCCATACAGTCGACTGCTGTTTCGTTTCGGGCTCATAGGCATATATCCACGATTCGTCACCAGTGACGATTTTATTAACGTCTTTTGAAGCACCACGATTGAATTTCTTGAGCATTTCTTTACACCAACTCACACGAGCCATTTTTTGTTCATCGGTCAATTTATGTGGGATCCAACGAGAGCAAATCTTTTTTACGGCTAAATGTTCATGCAAAATTGTATGTATGCTGTGGGATGAAATGCCCAAAGATGCCTCAATCTCACGGTAGGTCACATGACGATCTTCCATAATCAGTTTTCTGACAGCATCGATGTTTTGTGGCACAACAGCCGATTTTGGACGACCTGTATGAAACTCGTCTTTGAGCGAACTACGACCGCAACGGAATTCTCGGTACCAGTTATAAATTGTCTGAAGGGTTGGTGCTTCATTGCCAAAGGCCAAATGAAGTCGATCGAAACACTGTTGTTGAGATAATTTACTTCGAAAATCGTAGTAAATCATTTTACGAAAATCTTCACGTGTAAAATTCATTTTTTTGTTGAGTCGCAGTTTACCAGTCACTGTAAACAATACAAATAGCGTTCGTACGACAAAAGGTTCAGGGCACGAATACATACCAAAACATCAAACTTTACGAATATGACAATGGTTTACATCGGGCAACACTATAAGTACCATTTTAAAAAAAATTATGGAGCAACCTACGTAGACATAGAGTCATAGACACCACTTACGGACACATCTCGGGGCCACCATGTCTAAACGCACATTCTTGAACCATACAATCGGCCGCCAACTCATTCAAACGATTATTACTGATGCCGGACATATTTGTTAATACAACCAAACCGCCACATCGTAGATCACCTTCTTCAAGTTCAGTCACATTTACAAAATTGTCCCAGAGCAATTTTTCACCGAATCTGGTTTTGAAGTCAGTCACCGTTTCGTTATCGTCTTGTTCGACAACAATACCAAGATTTTCTTTTGGAGGACCAAGATACGGATGCAGGTCAAGTAGAAAATGTGCCGCATCATCTGCATCTGCTAGCACCCAACCTCCTTCTTCTTCACTCGTTACATTTTGATTCTCAAGCGTTTCATTTAGTTTACTCGTCGTCGCTGCAAATAATTTTTTTTTAATTATTATTTCAAGATCATTCTTAATCAGAAACGGTTTTTCAGAGCAAAATATTAGAAGCCGAAGGTTCTAACATCATAATGTCATCAATTTTGTCATCATCCTCTAATTGTGAGGAACAGTCTCTTTGTTCATAATTTTTTTTAACATTAAAACGATGTATCTTTATTATGTAAAACTCACTCGGCGGTTCTGTAGTTGATGAGTACGTTGTTGTTGATGAATAATGACCTTTGATGTCTTTATGCTTATGTTTGCTCAAATGGAAGTTAAGATCGTCAATGTCTCCATTATCTTCTGTAACCGGTGGTCGCATCGGGCTTTTTGTTGGCGGTGCAATTATTTCAATTTTCGGATTTTGTTCGAGCAATAAACAATGATCTAAACACTGATCAACAACAATATCAATTCCTTCCTCTTCTGGACACTCGCGACTTGGACATGGTGACCACCAGACCTATAAGGGAGATAAAATGGCTTTTAAAAGTGTTCATCGGTATTTTTAAGCCGATTTATTTCGCATCTTTACCTCAACAGCGTTTGTCATCGGATGCTTCATGACATAAGCTTTCGGCACAGCACCGGGTATTTCTTGTTGTGGTATCATCATCAATGAATGATGAAAAACTGCATTTAGCAGTAAACTCATAACTACGACTGGTTTGTACTTGCCAAACTTATCCACCAAAAAACCTATTCAAATATATATTTTTATCAGTTTTAAATGTGAAATGAATATTTTCTATGGAAAACATGCGAATGAAATACTTTTGCAAAACAAAATGACACATCATGATGTAAAGTGAGGCACTTAATCGCGCCATTTCCCGTATCGATATAATCGCACTGAAATAGCGACGGCAGAAAACGATTGAAGTAAATACTAGAGAGAGAGAGACATGGTTGCTGTTTAAAGCGGAACGAACTTGAAATAACCATTTTGAACTTATCAATTCATTTACTTAAAGTATGTGACAAATAAGAAGAAAAAAAAAACAGACAAAACAATGCCAATCTTCATTTTGAACGGTAGCCATTTTTTTTTTCATTCGTCACTACGTAATAAGCTTCTCTGTGTAATTAATTTTATAGACCGTAAACAATCTACGACAAAAGGTCGTTAACACATTCTTCGCTCATTGGATATTGTTTTCTTACCGAAATATCTACGCATTACATCCCGTCCGATATATCTTACTTGCTATCAGTGTGATTATCAAAAAGGCGGCGAAAAACATGTCGCGAAAATTCGGATTGACGAAACTGCTGTGCTATTTCGGACAAAAAAATATTTGCACCGTCTTATAAATCATTCATTTCTATTCCGAGTTGATTTGTGAGTGTGCGCATGTTATAATTTCTACCCGCTTTTAATTGTTTATGAAGGTAGTTGTTTGTATTAGGAATGCCATATTTATTAAAAAGACTTTCTGGGAAATTCTATTGGATTTTGGATTAACCATTATATGATGATCATGGGATGAATTATTAGGATCATGGATTCCATAACATAATCGATATAGAAAACGCAAATCATCTTGTCTGCGATTACGATTAACAATAAAAATAACAGATAATACAGACGATACTTTGTAACAATACTCTTTTTCATGATATTAAATGTAAAAAAAAAATTGGAAAATAATATTGAAATAAAAAAGAAAACATTACCTGTAAGCGGAGGGCTTAAAAACGTCGTAAACGGCAGTGCTAAATAAATTATGGCGATTTCTTCAATTGTTAAGCCTATACTTTGCATGTGAATTGTTAGATATGGTAGAAGTGATGATGTAGCTGAAATCAGATTAAAAAACAAAGAGAGAGAAAAAAATGTTTATTTTTTCGATAATTTTTTTTTGATATTAGGCGTAAGATTTTGTCGGCGACATGATTGTTGACTTAGATAAAATTAAAAAATGGAAAACCTTCCAAATAAAAGCTCATTGTTTTTCAATTCAAAAGATGGTTCCATATAAATGCCAAATGAAAAACGGAGACAATTTCAAATGATTGCCTCGGTGTTATTCGGTAGCAAAACGAAAATTCAAATGACAATTATGAAGCCAATGATAAACACCAATAAATTTTATTTGAAATTCAATCGAATGATGTGGTTTTATCACGTACAACAAACACGTTTTGATCTCGTGAATCTCATCCAGAATTTATTAATATTCGAATTCGAATGCAAATCTTATCCAGCTTAGATAATAAAAATCGCTGTTTAAACCTCAGTTGACGCTGTGATTGTGCCAATACAGCCACACTGCGTCAAATTCATATCAAAATCTCTAGCAAAAAGATTTTGACAGATTGGGTTTGTTTTCGGGAGAGAAAAAAAAAATCCACATCAGTAGCTGGCATCATGAAAACCACAAATTTGAATTGTATTAGTACACAGTATCGAATTTTATGACACAATATTATGTTCATTATCAAGAACATAAGAGTACGTGGTTTCATCAGGCAGCAAATGGGTAGGCAACCAACGAATGCGTGTATATATAGATTCAAATGGTCAATGTAACGAATGTTGGTCACTTGTTGTCAGTTTTGAGACATACACACAACCAAAAACGACGGCTTTACATTAACAATAAAAGTTAATACGGCCACAAATGCACGATTTAGAAAGAAAGAGTCAAATGTATGTCACTTAAAATTAAGTAGATACATCTCATACGAATTTATTAAGTGATTCGAGAGGTTTGTGTAATAGTCGCATATCTACTTATCTACGCATCTATTTGTTATTGTTGTTGTTCAAGTTGCCTACAGTGTCCACAATATTCTGCCGTACACAAGGTTAAATCGACACAAGTCAAATAAAATACACATTATTTGCGAATGAAAATTGAACGATCGTCGTTCTTCGCCCGTTTGCCCATCGTCTACATCCTTTTCGGTCAAATAGTTTTGTTGTTGATCTGTATGTGCATTGGTTGCACTTTGTATATGTACACGCTCGCTTTATTATCAATTTGATCATTTTATCGGACAAAATAAAAGAGTACACGTTGCAGACACGTGGTTTGCGCCTGCATTTATGAATTTTCTATTTTTAGGTATGAAATTAATAAGAAATAACTGAGTTCCATTTCACATATATTGTTATAGATCATACATCGTATGTTTTGTTTGTTTTGGAGCATCATACAAACATAATAACTTTGACATCGACCTAAAAACAAAACTCAACATATCTAATTCAGTTTCCTCAATAAAATGCGTTGTAATGATATACACATGAGCATATTTTCGGACGGTTTGAAATGAACGTGTGTTCCAGTTGAGAAATCGTCTGTTTTTGTGCGAAGCGTCTGTCTTGGCACTGCAGTTTGTCGCATGATTGAACAGCAGAACACAAACATACACACAAGCGCGCGCGCTTCGTACATATGTGGTTATGCATTATGGCGATTTTGTAAATCGAAATCGTAGAAGTGTACAAGTGCAAGTACAAATCATCATCTCGACGACAATAAAATCTAATCGTGGTCTCAATTTCATACATCCCATCATTTCATATTCGTTGAATGCGAACAAACAAACGCAAATTAATCGTTGACACTCTATTCAATGCATTCGCAATGGCACCAGATCTTTGGTGTAATTCTGTTTCTTTTTTTTTTGCTCGTTTAGTTGTGGCTCTCGCAGCACTTGTCATTATTCAATTTTTATCTTGCCTAGTTAGACGAAGATTCACCGCATTATCTGTTGTGATTATTATGAAATTGGAGCATCGCTTGGTATTTGTACAGCGAGATAGATCGGCAGGGAGTCGAAAGAGTAATGAGCATTTCAATATTGCTTCTTTTCAAAGTGAGCCATTGTTTGATGCACTTTTTATTTCAATACTTCATACTTTCGACAGTTATCTAATCTAGACAAAATAAAAACCATGGTGAAAAATTATTCCATTACAATCGAAGTCACAACAAGGTGCGTATACATGTCTACCTGAACAATGATAACACACGATCTCTCAATGAATTGACCTGTGTATTACAAATATTGATAATAATAAATTCAACACAACAACCAACGCTGAGATATGGCAACCGATTCGTTATCGATTCGGTTTGAATTCAAAACAAAATATATCGGAAAAAAGGCACATCGATCGTAAGAAATTTTGGAAACTTGAGAACATTCGTCAGTAAATACGTAATTCGGACTCATCAAATGCGCAGCAACAATCAACGAGGCATTTTTTTCTTTTCGAAATTTGGATATGTTAGTTGTGTGGTATCATTTATGTTTATCTCGGTGCCATTATTTGAAAAATCTCTGGAAAAATCCACTGTTTACATTTTCTGCACACAACTTCTGTTCAATCAATCCATTATATTATATTTTTGATTTTTGTATGGGGAAATATTCCATGTATTTTAACTCAATATATAAACCAAATCCATCGAAATTCAATCTGAAGAAAGTGAAGTGTAAAGGTTTATCACGAATGTGATAACGAATTAAAATTTATTGCATTCGACGAAAATAACAATTTTCCAATGAAATCAGACGAAAAAAAGTGAACATCGATATGTACAAGACAACAAAATTATAATCTAATCAGGCGAAAGAGAGAAAAGTGTCGTCAAGTTCAATATGAAAGCGTCTGATATTTTTTTTATGTACTCAGCCAATTCTCAAATGTTGCAAAATCTTTTTCAAAGAAATCAAACAGAAAATCTACTATTTGATTGAAATTGTTTTAATCTTTTGAATCTATTTGGTGTCACTATTTACAAAACAAATTGAAAGAGTCCAAGCGAATAAATAAGTGTTAATTCAACATTATTATAATAAAATAAAATAAAATAAAAAAGAAATTATTTTGCCAATAAATACGGATGGAACAACAAAGATGTGTTGGACAACTTAACAAAAGAATATTAACTGACTATTTTCAGCCAAATGGGATAATAAACTGAATTAAAAAACAATAAATTATGTCACACAGCAAGCACAACATAATAACAACATCCCATCTCTCGGACATATTGCACGTCGATTTGCATGTAGTTGTCAGAGCGAGAGAGAGGCATTCGAATCATGTTGGACAAGTGTGAATGGTTGTACTTCAATTTAATACACGCCAATTACAAACATTACTCTTTTTTTGGAAATAATTCGAAAGAATGTCCAACAGATGATATATGAAGCACTTCGAAACGTGCACTTTGACAAAATGGAAAATTTCAATAGCAATCTGTTCGAAACCGGAAATATTTCACTATAACATATTTCAAAATGCCAATTTTTGATGTCCAATATTGTGCTGAAAGGCGGACAAAAAAATATTGTTGTAAAAATCTATATTTTTTAGATAGGCTTCAAGCTGAGCCATTCGCAATCATCTATTTTGATGAATAAATTGTGGTAAATTCAAAGGAATTTCAATTTTGCTATATTTTCGGGAGTTTTCATCACCGACGTACTTTTTAAGCCATTTCACGTTGACAATTTTATGGAACCATTGGATGGGAAAAAAGAATAAAAACTGCTCGTCGTCAAAATTAAATTTTGATTATTGAATATATTAATATTTTTGTCTTTAAATCTTTTTTCTGCATACCTCCATACATAACGAATAATGTAATTTTCAGCATAATTAGGTTGGAATTAATGCCATGACGCTGACAGAATTCGCTAAATTTTGTAAGTTCAGGCTTTTCAATTTCGTCCTCTGTTGATATTTCTTTTTCCTTAAGTTTTGTTGTTTCCTCTATTTTTTCCTCCCCCATGTTGCTAGCCAAAAATTTGTTGTTTCTAAAATCAAGTCACTATTCCAAATCTTCCTCGTCAAAACTGATCACGGTATTTACACTTTCTTTTCTTCACTTTGTGTTTATATGTAGTGTGTTATTGTTTTTTTTTACCGAAATCGAAAAAAAAATCAGCGTTTCAACGCTGATAATGCCAGTATTCAGTTGTACACCGTCTTTTCCATTCGACTATTATTAAAGTAATTTATCAATAAAATTCCATTAAAACATTCAAAATATAGCATGCGCGCGCGCAAAGGAGTGAATACAAGAAAAATGTCCGAATAAAATGATGAATCCGAAATAGAGCGAGAACGAGACTAAACTGAACAAAGTGCTTTTTAATGCGATGACGTCGTAAAATTTCAATTTGTTTCCAACGCTTCTATTTGCTGGATCTCGGATCACTTGGCTTTGCGAAATTGGATCACGGTTCGTTGATTAAGAATATTTGAATAAAACTTTTTGCCAACTTTAATTTCAACCAACTGAATTTAGTTCCGATGCTTTGCGAAGTAGAACAATTTAAATTAAAAAAAAAACGATTCTTTTAAGTAACTGGACGGATGTGTCTAGGAAATTTGATCAAAAACACTTCCTTCTTCTATTTTATTCACAATGTTGATTTTTGCTATCTATTTTCAGAACGTATTTTTCTCGATTTATTCGCCAAATTTCTAATTGGACGACGTGTGCGACACAAATCGATGTATGAATGTAAAAATGATGAGCCGAATAAAAGATCTTGCGCTGATGGTGTCTCACAAAATACTGATTGTGATCGTTCAAAGTTGATTTGTAAAAATTGTAGGCCCCGGCTTTGTTTCGTGCTTTAAATCAATTTGCTCGAATGAAAGGCGACAAAATAATGATTGCAGATTCTGTCGCTCACACATAAACGGTAAAACATTATCTACTCGACAGAAAGTCACTGCGATAAGCAAATGATATAGAAGATTATCAACGGTACGGTGTGCAACTTTATATCTTCTTCGAATTATGAGTGTGTATGTGCGTATGTGAATGTGGTTTCAAACGGCAAAGGCACCAGTTTTAAGTTTGCATCTGTATTTACAAAAAATTAGAGAAGAAAACTGATACGATACGCACGGTAGGCAGATGAGACCTCTTTTAATGTACTCAGAAATATAAGTCTCCGCATCATTCAAACAGTTAACGTCTGTATGATAAGTTCTTCCAGTCTCAAGTTTGACGCAACCGACTCAAGTGTATGTATTCATTCTGCATGTCTATCAGAGTGTGATTTGATAATTTTTAAAAAACGTTCCCAACTCTCGTCTGAAGAGATAAACCATAGATCCATATATTGATGGGATACTTGATTACAAATAAAATATCATTCGATTCATGTTTTGGGTTTGTACGAAATGACAATAGCTAGTTTAAAAAATTTCCATGGAAATGGTGAACTCTTGAAAATGTTCTTCACTTTAACCTAGAACATATTGAAACCATGTACATTCAGTACAATGACAAATTTGAAAGAAACTCAGCGGTCTGACTCATAAATATAATTTCTTCTTTAAACTACATTTCTCGGTTTCAAACTTTGTTAAACTGGGTTAAACTAAAACCCTGACGGCAATTTTTGGATATTTCAACCGAACACTTGGTGCCACTAAATTACATTGCCAGGAAGTTGTCGAAACAACTCCATTTCATATATTTCATTTCTTTCAATCGATATCAAAAATCATACGAATGTTATTCGAATTGGTCATTTCGTTATCAGTTTACAAAATGTTTCATTTTTGAATGAACGGTTATGTCCTTCCAATGAAATAGAACCAATTCAACTTCCAATTTGAATTAAATTCTCACTAGATGGCTTTGCGTGTCTTCTAATCTGGTCAATGAATTTGAATAGGTGCTGGTAAAAAACCCAGTAAATTAATTGAAAAGCGGTAGCAAAAAAAATATATTGATTTTTGGTGCTGCTCTCAAGAGACAGCGAATTTCGATGCTCAAAACAAATTTTGTAATCTTTTGGTAGAAAAACAAACAATCACAAAGTGTGTTTATTCAAAGCGAATTTTATATGCGTTCAAAGTATTGGAATCACATTCCCTTGTTTAATCACATTCCCTTGTAGTGTAAACATTGATTCCTCGGTAAATTCAAATTCCTTGGAAAATTCGAAAGTGAATGTGGCCACGATGCAAATCACTGAAACCATGGACGACATGGTTAGTTGTACACCATGCGTTGCTAGCGTCATGCTATTGCTAGTGTTTATATTACGACAATGTTTGTATTTTTTTCGTTTCTCTTTCGCTGAATGAGTTCCGAGAAAGGAAGACATAAAATATCATTACGAATTCGATGAAGCTACGTTTGAAATTAAAGTGAGACTCAAGAACAACGATTCGATGTTCATGTTTCTCTTTCAATCTTTTAACTACTTCGCATTTGTGAGAGTACTGTGGTGTATGTGTTTTGTGACGAGTGGACTAAAAACGGCCGAATGTTGTTTTGTTTTTATTAACTTACGGATGTCAAACATTATTCGAGTGAGTCTATTATTGAGTACGAAAACGTGAAGACGATAGCGCTTATAGGCACCGCGGGAAAAAACCATTTTGTGCTGAAATATAATGGTAAGTAACATTCAAGCAAAATAATAGATAAAATCCAAAAAGGACGTATTTTAACAATAAAATCTCTTTCTTTTTTAGATTGAATTGTTTTAAAATGAATTCAAAGCTATTGAATCATTTTGAAGGAAGGCGAGAGCTGGCTGCTATTGTACATACATTAACCGACAAATATGATACAAACGTGTTGAAATTATTGTGTGTTATGGATTATTGGCTCGATAAATCGGAAATGTACGAAAAAATCACAAAGGTACCAAAATTGCTGCCGAAATTGCTTCAATTGCATTCAGTAGAATCATTCAAGTACTTCAGCTATAGATTACCAGACGAAGCTATGCGCGCACAGGTCGGTGAAAAATTGTTATTGTGTGGACGGTGTGATTTGGTCGCTCCATATTTAATTGTACTGGAGCATTTGGCAATCAGCCACAACCTACATGTAAATGTCAATGTATGCATGTGGTGCAAAAAACGAGAATTTCGAGCGCATGCCAATTTAGATGAGTGCTACACCAATTATGTAGCCAAACAATTATGCGGCAACACCACTTATTCTGACATTATTGTCGATTTTTACGAAATGTTAAGAAAACTGGCCAAAGAACTGAAGGTAAACGTCATACACAGGAAAACATACAAAAATGCATATGGTCACACGAAACGCAAAGAAATTCTTTCGAACGATTATGACATCGACCCAAATATTATTTATTATACACCAAAACACAGACCACACAAAGGCTTTGACATCAACGTACTGGAAAAATTATTTATCGAAGCAGTTAAACATTTTTCCATTGATTTGAAAGTGAACGAAACATTGGTATCGACGTCAGCCATTTTGAATTCGACCAACATGGCTCAAACGACATCAACAACGATAGTGAGAGCGCCAGCAACATCAACATCAACCTTGAATCTCCGGCCGTTATCGATTACGTTGAACATAAATCCTTTTCAAGTGATCACTGGTGCTATTGCCGAAAATGTAGAAAACCAACGAACCGAATCGCTACCAATAACCACTCATATGCAAATGCCATCTGCGTCAAATCTGGTATCAGAGTTGATGTTTGGTACCTTCATCGGATCGATCTTGAAAAACATTCGAGATGAAACGTTGCGTAACAGTGCCGAATCAGAAATACGAAGCATCGTTCACAAATATGTTCTCATGGATTTTAATAGGCAATTAGATTCCTAACATGATAAGCGTCATTCAACACATCGTTTGACCTTATTATTATGTTTTGCAAAATTTTCTTTTAATTGAACACATTTTTTTCATCATTTCATCTTGACATTTTTTTTTTCATTAACATTGAATTAAATCTGAAACTGGATTTAAAAATGAATTTGAATTAAAGAACACAAAATAAAATTGTGCGGGCGTTTTTCTTCCAAATTTTTTTTTGTTATATTTTAATGGAGGTTTGTAATTAATTCATTTGAATTTGTCGTGAATCGAAGTTTCCTTCATAAAGAACAGTTTCTGTGCAGTTTCAAACATGAAAAACGTTTATTGCGGTTCATATTCGAGCACACAAAATAATCTTACATCCTTTCAACAAAAAAACACAAATATAAGCTTAAAATTGAATTGATTAATTTACACCAGATGCCGCTGCATACCTTCCAATCCGAATATTACTTGAAATATTCAGCTTAAAGTTCGTATCAATTCATATTGTATAATAAAAAATTTCATTATTAATTTCAAAAGTAAATTTTCCATTCACGTGTCGATATCGTATCGCAATCATTTGTCAATTTGATTCAATAAAAATGAAACGCATTTTCTATGCGATTTGTGACGCATGTTAAATATTATAACGAGAAAAAAAAACTAGACAAAGGAATGTATACTCACACACAAACGTTGTGAAATAATATTCAGTCAGTTGGTCGCGTGAGTTCTGACACATGAGCACGATGGTGTTGTGACAGACCGAATTTAAGAAATTTCTCTCTTTCTCTCTAGTTCGTTGTGTGGCTGTATGTATTTGCAAAAAAAAGAAGAATTGATTGTTGATTCAGCGCTCACTTCACAGCGCACAGAAAATGGCCGAAAAGCTGCAGAGAAAAATTTTTTTTGTTGAGAATTGTCTTGTTTCAATCACACAGTATTGTTCATAATTTTATATAGGTGGTTCAGTTTTGATTTATCGCCTGCGAAATAAAAACCGTAAACGATAGCATCGATTGAAACGCGAAAAAAACGAGAATAAACAGTGTTTCGATGGCTATTTATTGAGTTTTTTTTATGGATTAAAGTTTCGTGTTCGAAATTCGATTTGCAACCTCACCAAGAATTTTTTTTCCTTTCTTTTCGTGTGATTTTCTCTGTATTCATTCAAGTGTGAGTGAATATTTTTTGTTGTTATTGACCAATTGAAGTGCATATAGGAAGAAAGAATTCGTGTTAAGAAGTTATTTTTTTTTCCTGATTACTGATTTGGAGTTTTTAAAATGTGCGCATCGTTCTACATACATCGTCACATTTGCAAGACATAGAAATAAAAATTGTTATGGGAATATGATTGTGGTCGATTTTAATATAGAAAAAACTTCAAAGCATAAAACTATATACAACACACCAATTAATAGTTGAACATCTCGCTGTGCAGTGTGGAAAATAAGAGTTTAGACAAGAATGAAAATCTTTTTTTCCTTCAATTTCACGGTGGAATTTTTTATATAGTGTAAACGAAGTGCATTATTACAGAATTGATTTGGCTTTAAGAAGAAGAAGTGTTTTGTTGCACCGTTTCAAATAAGTCTGATGAAATTTCTTCTTGTGCAGTGAATAATACACATTGAAAGAATCGAAATAAAAGTCAGTTTGCAACAACACAGAATAATTAACGCAATACAGACGAAAAACATATATCTTCATTGAATGTTTGTATTTTCGTTTCTATTTTAATAATAATTCACGACGATTTATATACGCTATAAAAATACGATAAATACATTCTGAAATTCAATATTTTAGTTTCGATTCAGTTTGAACATATTTTCGATCGGTTCGATATACTCTCTCTCTCTATCTCTCTCTGTTTCTACCCTGTGCCTCGTGTATGTGTCTGAGTGTGTTTGTGTATTAAGTTTGTTTGCTTAAATAATACAATAATTTTTATTTTGTTCTTCTTTATTTGGTTTGGCTAAAGTGCAATTTGCCAAAAAAAGAATAGATAAAAGAAGAAGAAGAAGAAAAAACGAAGTTTTGTAATTTTGTGTTCAACGCAATATTAAGTGAGATAGGCTGAATCACGAAAACCCCAATCTGAAATCGAATTAAAAGTTGAATACCATACATACAACAAAAGGGTAAAACTGTGAATAAAAAGAAGAAGAAGAAGAAGAACCCATCAAGAAGAGAGAAAAAAACGAATTCGATAAAGAGAAAAAAAGAAGAAAAAAAATCGAAAACGAAAAACATTGCACAAAAATCATAGAACACATACATAAATATAAACGTAAATTACGTCCACACACATGCAAATACATTGACGTACAAGTACACATGCAAAAAAACGGATTCAGTTCAGTGCTCATTCAGTGTGTCATTGTTGTTGGTGCGAGTGTATTTATGTGTGTGAGAGATAGTCTCGAAACAGTCACAAACAGTAACCGTATACAGTGAGAGTGAGTGAAAGAGAGCGCGCGATAGAGACAGTGAAAAACGTCATATTTCGTCACACAGCGACTGAGTTCACATCGATATAGTGTGAGAAAGAGAGAACCCAAAGAGTGTGTATCTGTGTTAATAATATTGTTCGTGAGTGTGTGTTGAAGCGCAATACGGTTCGTCATTCTGTGTAGACAAGCATTTCAGCTGACATAAAAAAAGAAGCAGAACGAGAGAAATAAAAAACGAAACACACAAGTAAACGACAACAACAAAAAAACCTACTAGCAAGCGTTGAAGCCAAACTATGTCTTCTTCGCAAACCAATGCAACAGCAGTAAATCATCATCATCATCAACATCGAAATAATAATAAAGCCAATGCAAAAGTCGTACAGAAAACGACTAGCGAAAGTCTCCGGTTATCAATGAATAGCAATTGTATTGACGGTGGTAATGTGGTGGCAAATGGAAATACAAACAGCAGTAGTGGTTTAACTACAAACGTTGTCGGTTCAATATTGAATTCAGCCCAACATCAACAAATTGTTTTACCCCCATCATCAGCAACGCTATTAATGACAAACAATGGAAAATTTCAAACAAATTCCAGTGCAACAACGGCAGCCTACGTAAATTTGCCCGATATTAATATGGATTTGAAACCAAAAACATCATCATATCAAATCACATCGATAACAGTTGGTACGAGAACGAGTGCCGATGAAGATTCAGCTGACGATTTAGACGAATCTCATACGACAGACGAAAATAGCCGAATCACCGATATGGAAAATGAAACGCCTAGCTATTCAGAAGACTCAAATATGTATTCAAAAGACGACGTATTTGCAACGGCATATGCGCACGGTATTCCAATTATGCAGAACAATATGTCAGCTGATCTAACAAATTGTGTGAATAGTGGTAGTCAAGTTGGTGGTAAGAAATTGCCAACGGACGTTCGTGTTAATTGTGTTACGACCGCCACCGTGGATAAAAACAAAGGTGTCGAAATAAAAGGTAGTGAACGTTTTAAGGTTGTCAAAATCGAAAGTATTGAACCGTTTAAACGTGGCCGCTGGACGTGCATGGATTATTTGGATCAATCGGCGAAACAAGTGCAAATGAATTTTGGTGGTAATGGTAAAACGGTTGCAACGAATGACAGTGGCGTTGTGCTTACCGAAACATATTCAGATGCAACGACAACAACAAAACAAAAGAAACAAGGCAAAACGGTACAAACGGATATTTTGCCAAATCAAAATCAAAATACGGTGCCAGCCGCTGCTCATTTAATTTCTGGCCAAAGTGCACCGTGTGCAGCAACACCGAACATAACGAATGAAAATACGTCACCGGGTCAAACATTGCAACAACCATTGCAAAATAATTTTGTTGTGAATAATCAAAATATTCAGGCAGCGCCTGTTCTACAACAACCAAATAATTTGCAACAAGAAGTTCACCAACAACAACAACAACAACAGCCACCACAACAGCAACAGCCACAACAGCAACAGCCACAACAGCAACAGCCACAACAGCCACAACAGCAGCAACCGCAGCAACAACAACAGCCACAACAACATCAAACACAACCTGTGAACTCTTTTCATCACCCAGTCGGTGCACATAATGTGCAACAAGGCCAAAGCCTACCACCCCAAATAATGTCACATGTAATACCTCAAATGCAACAAAATCATCAAATCCAAGGCACACAAAACGCTGTACCACATCAAATGGCTGTTTCACATGGACAATTACCAAACTTCCAACAGCAACAACAACAACCGCCACCACAGCAACAGCAACAACAATATTCAAATACGTCAATGGGCGGCAGTCAAAGTGCCCACAATACACAAACAATTCCAATGCAACAAATTCACGAAATTCATCAATACCAACAACAATATCAAAATAATCTACAAAATCAACAGCAACAAGCTGCCCAGCAATACTATAGCCAAATAGCCACAGCCGATAACACAAACAATGTATACCAAAAGCAGTCTCAACCATTGCAACAACAACAACAACAGCAGCAACCACAATATCCAGCGCAAATGCAACAATTCTCTGGTCAATACCAACAGGTAATTAGAAATTCTTTCTTCGGTCTCTTCGACATTTTTGTTATTCTCTTATTTGAATTATAGAGCATGAGAAGTGTGAATGTTTTAAGTACGTGCCCATGTACGTTATTCAATATCGATTGTAGATGAATTTGTTTGTTTCGTGCGCATATTTTTTGTTGACTAGTATTTTCTTCTCGTGACCCTGAATATGTTCTACGTTTCAATTTTGTTTCTATCTTCATTTCATGTCCAAACAGCAAATCCCAACAAATCAACAACAATTTCAATCACAACCGGCCATGCCAACGGCCCAACAAATGCAAATGCAAACACAACAGCCACAAGTTAGCTATCCACATGGTCAAACTCTACCAGCAAATGCATTGCAGGGAATTGTAACGACTGGAACTCATATGGCTGGTCTTCCCATCACATCACAAATACCCCCGACAATGGTGAATGTGTCACATCAACAAGCTATGAGCATGGGCCATTTACCAAACAACATTGAACTGAATATGAATATGCCGCCGTCTGGAATGAATCCAATGGCTGTCAATCACTCTGGATTTATTCCACAGCAGGTAAAACACTCTTATCTCTTGTTTACACTCAATTTCACTCGAATCGACTTGGATATGACTTTTACTCTTTTTTACCTTTGTATATACCGTGTATCTTAAATTTTACCACTTTTTTTCTTCTTCAATTTCATTCGCACACAAAAAAACAGCAGCCCGTTCCACATTCACAGCAACAAGCCCAAATGCATTCACAGCCAGCGTCCGTTAGCAGTTCAATGCATATTCAGCCAACAAATCAAAGTTATGCAAACCAAAATCAAACGATAAACGCCAGTAACGTTGCTGCCGTGCCATATTCGATAGCAATGCAAGCAACGCATGATACAAGCGTCTTGCAACAGGCAACCAGTCAAATGAATAATGTAAATCTTCAGACGAATTATGCGAACTCAACAACGATACCCACACAACCCACGACAATTGTTCAACAAACCCAACCCGTTCTAGTGCAACCAATTCAAGCAACAGTCGTTACAAATCCGAACCGAAATAATGTGATATACAGTGAAGCAGGTGAGTTTATTGTCATTTTCTATGTTTCTATTTTGTACATTCATACATTTAGTACGCGAAATGGAACGAAGCGCGTAGAACTTACGTCTGTATACAAATTTATATTTGATTCAAAAATATATATTTACATATGTGTGTGTGTTTCTTTATTTTTCGTTGCAGGAACAGCTGCGCAAAATCTAAGTAACGTGATTACATCGTCTTCATCGACAATTGCGCCAGTTGTAAGCAACGCGAACAATGTAAATGCGAATATATCGGTCGCGAATGCGAATACGAACAATGACCCAGACACGGTTTCTGTTGATGGACCAACAAAAATGCCAGTAGTCAACGCAACTGCAGCAGCCACCGATGACGGGCAATCGGTCGACGAGAGTGAAAGGTGAGACACATTATTTTCTTTTCGTTTAAATCCATTATTTCTTTCTCATTTCTTCTCCGTCATTCGTTTTGCACGAAAATGACAAAGACTTTCTAAACACGTGATTTCGAATCTGAGAAAATTAACCTTCAGCAACAGAAAATTTGCAAAATTGTTTACTTTTTTTTTTGCACAATTATGACAACATGTACATGCCAATCCAATGCCATTCATTTGACCATCAACTTATTATTCGAAAGTAATGGCACGCTAACGCTTCGTTTAAACATCTATTGAAAGTTAACTCTTCATTCACTTGACAATTGAAAGTTTAATTTTGTTGTAAAACAAAATAAACGATTTCTTCGATATACAATCTAGATTTTGTTTCATGGTTTTTTGTTGGCCTTTTGCTGGCATATTTCATTCTTTGATTTTGTTCAAAAGGAAACTGAATACAACTTCCTTTCCATTTCTATTGATATGATAAAAAACGAATTCACAACCGGACATTTTTCAAGCGCTACATATCTACTTAAGGGGCATCCATTCAGTTTTGCAGGAAACACGCATAGTCGATGAAAAAAAGCGGCGTAGAAAAAAGAATGAAAAAAAGACTGATATAACAAAGAGAGAAATATTGTTTGTGTATATTTTGCATATTTTAAAAAAATATCGAGATTTCAATGTACTATTGCGTTTACGCTTGACAAACAAGCGATTTTCATAAGGTGCGCGCACCGATAAAAATAGTCTAAACAATACATAAATACAGATATGAAAACGAACCAAGACATATATCAAATGTCTCTGTCACTCTATGGCGCACTCTTGATTTACTCTCTTCCTTCTGTTACATGCTTTGTGTATGCTCTGTCTTCCTTTTTTTGTGCGAGCCTAGCCAAACGATAAAATACAACAATTGTTGCACATTATATATATAGAGTGTATCGCTTTAAATAGACATAACAAAGCAATGGATTTCATTTCATGTGCGATTAATAATAGAAATTCTACATCTAATCTCCGTCCAGTTAAAATAAAACATTTATCTCTGTACTATAATTACAAATTGAGACTGTGATGAGATAAAGCAATTTGAAGTTTGCATACGGGCGACACAGAATAAAGTTCAAGTTCCCTGGTGTGTTGGAAAAATAAAATTAATGAAGTCCGAGCTTCTAATTAAAGACTAGAAAAGTAGCGAAAATCCAATCCTTTTGAGACGAACAGAGAGCAATGCTTTGAATCATTTTGAATTAGAAATCCTGTTAATATAATTTGGATGGAGTAGACGCTGAGCTCAATGCTTTATACACATTGTAATTTAAATTAGCGTACGACTAAAAGCAGCGAGTCAGAATGTGAAATAAACAAAATAAACACGAAAACAAGCGCACATGTAGCAATCGATTAAACTAGAAACAAGGTTGATCGATTTATATATTTATTCTGTCTTATGTAATCATAAATAAATTGCACAGAAAAAAAACCCAAAAATTGAAATTTGTAATAAAATCACCGCCACACACATAAAAAAAAGCACATGCCAAAAAGCATAACATTTTATTAACTTTGAGTCATTTTATCGGAGAATCGGTTGAATTGATAGAAAAAGAGAGATTGAGGGACGAAGAGAGGCGATTCTTTGTTTATTTCATCGCTCATCAAACTCGATCGGTTGCCGTGCCTACCATGCACGATACATCTCCATACAGATAGACATCGAGTAAAATAGTCATGCATTTTGTCATTCCATTTAATTCGCCTCGAAATCTGTTGTTTGTGTTACCGTCAGATCAATAGTTATTTGCTCTCCTAATACGTACTACGTAGTATGCACACAATATTCCGACGTTTGTTTTGTTGTTGTTAATTAATAATGATTGTTTTTTATTTTTTTCAAGCAACTTTCTAGTCTTTGAGAAAAGACAAATAATAATAGCATTTATGATTACGGTAAAAGAAATAAAAAAAATGTGCTTGATTTGTTTTCTTTCGATTTGCATACATTGCAAACGACACAAATGGCATTGATATCGATTAACTATATAGCGAATGACGGCGAACAAGTAATGCAATCTCTGTGTGTGTTGTTTTTCTCTCTATTAGTACGGTGGCTGCTACTGCACAAACTTAGCGGTACAATATGATACGAACAACCAGCAGCACCAGCAGCATAAACGTTGTTTGTTTGTATATCAGTGTCGTTTGTACTAACGTCGTGTATTCATACCGAAACGAAAAATGTGCGCCGCACAATTGAAATGAATTTGTATGATATTATTGCATGATTGCTTTCTTCCTATAATGGTTCAAGGTCAAGTCAAAACAAAATAAAATCAAACGAAAAAAAGGATCGTTTTGTTATTATTATCAACATAAATGTTGATGATGCTGTTTTGCTCTGGTTACACATTTTCACACGAAAATGAGTGTCGTGAAAATTCGCTATAGCTATGTCGCCGTTGAAAGTTTAGAGACAAAACATATTGTCGAATATTTCTCAAAATACTTTGGAGACCACAACAACATATGTGTGTGTGTTTGTTACCGCACATCTCATTCGAATGTGATGCAGTCTTGGTGATATAAAAGGTGCTGTTCGATGTTGCTGCCTGTGCCACGACGTATGAATATAATATGAAGACAACGAAGTTACAAAATACCATTTCATGCAAGAATATTGAGCATGGGGTGTGGTCAAAATATATGTGCGATGTATAAATAAATCGTCTATATATACATGTCTGTTCATCTTATTTTATTTTTTATACTTCAATATGCACATCATTTACACAATTTTGACGAATTGTGATTGCATCCATACACATTTCTTATAAATAAAAATGAAAAATATCCCTTATCGAGCGTTGTTGAATGATCGAGACAACGGGATAATGAGACGCGTGAAAAATTCCATCTCTGACATAAATACATTCGAATGTCACAAGCAAATATGCGAAATAATAAAGAACAAACAACGGATATGGCATTCGTGCATTGAATATAAGCTATCAATTTTGGGGCCTGCCATTTCAATGCAAACGTTAAGCAATAACAACCGACCGAATAAAATTAAACAGTGTCGTTTTAATCGACAATGATATGCACACGCTTTAAGTAAAGAATGAAAAAAAACCGCAAACCAGAATTGGAAGTGTAAAGAGAGGGACAGAGAGAGCGAAACAAACTAAGTGCGAAAAGAGAGTCGTGTTAATGACCTTTACTTTGTTACTTTATTGCTTGTTGCTCGTTTAGTCGACAACACACAACGATCTTTACCTATAGTCCAAATTGTTCGCGCTCACGCTCATGATATATCAACACTGTCCGTGTGTGTGTTTGTGTGCAACAAAAAAAATATTTGTTGGTTTCTGAATTGCGGTTGCTTTTGAAATGTTCATTGAATTTAACACTTCGTGATGTATGCTTTCCATTATGTGACCCGACTTATATATTAGATACATGTCATGTATTATGAAAAAGACGTTCAATATAAAAGTTAAAATTTATCGCACGAAAATTTCTATAATGCCAAAAAAGAAATAGTACTTTTACAATTTGAACTTTGTGTGGATTGGTTGTGCACGCTTTTTAATAGGTCGTCGATAGAATAATTCCAAACATTTGTCAGCTCGTATGTACGTGTTCTAATTTTTTTTTTCATCATTTACAAAGACGTATGTACATTATTCTATCTTCTAGATAACTACGTCATATCCATAGCATTACATATACGTGAATGTATATAGCCATAGTTACGTAAATTCAATATTTCTCATCGATCTCATTATAAATATTGTTTTTTTTTTTTTTTAATCGCAAATTCAAATTCTGGTTGTTTTCTTTTTTAATCTACAAAACAGTTTGTGTGTTTTTCCACCACTTGAAAAAAGTTTTAATTTCTTGGGCGAACATGCAGGCGAACTGAATACGATTATAAACGGCACGCATTACCAACAAACCTTGAAAATTTTCATCATTAAATTCACAATTTTCTCTTCAAATTCAAGTATTTATGGTTGTTTGCAAATTCCATGACAACCACCGCATTTTTATCGAATGGAATTTTTTATTTTTCTAATTGAATTGGATGCATGTTCTTGCTCTTCTTCTCTTTCTCTCTCGATTTTGGGTCATCTTTGGGTGATTTCATAAAATATAAGAAGAATTTATCTCCCATTATAATACCATATATAGTATCTATTTGCAACATTATTCAGCATGAAAAATGGAACCATGTCAAATTGTTCCAGTCAATTTTGTTGTAATAAAAAAAGCAGCGAAAACAGTGCCAATAGTGTCATAATGGAATTTTTTTTACGCAATTCTGAATTCGGAAGGAAAGAGCCTTTTACATAAAAGATTTTGTCACGAGTATGTCATTGAAAATCATTCTGAATAAGATGTTTTTATTCAAATATTTCGCGTATAGTACTTAACATTTGTCACGTCATTGTGTCGATGTGACCACAAAAGTGCACGTGCATCATTATTTGCTTTTGCTTTCGCGCTAAGTCGAAATGAAAATATATTACATCAATGAACAATCCTATGATAAATGTTTGGTCTATAAATTTTTAATTCGATTTTATATCATTTGAATAACTTTTCCAATTGAATTCAAAATGATGAAAATGATTAGGAACCATAAAACTTAAATAACGATGGAATTTAAAAAAAACGTTCGATGGAAATTTACTGGAGAAAGAAAAAGAGGCACAATGACACGTCGTATGAGTCATGACAGTGTGTATTGATTAAAAAACATGTATGCAAGTGCAACAACCTATTTTTAAACTTATTTCATGCATTCGGAATGAACTGTTCTTTAGAAGCGAAAAAATTTCATTTGTTGCCGAGCCATAAAACGGTTTTTTACAACTTTTTTCCGTGACGACATAAATAAATGTCATAAAAAAGTAGTTGTATATACAGAATTAAAAACATGTATAAACGGTGAACAATAGAAAAGTTTGTTTTATGAATTCTCGAGTTTTAATCCATATGTTTTAACC